TGGCTTTGACTGCCTGCACCTCCAGGGTCTTTTCTAGGAAGTCTTTGCCAGTACCTATATCTTGCAGGGTTTCTCCAATGCTCTCTAATAATTTGATGGTGTCAGGTTTTAGATTTAAGTCTTTAATCCATGTTGAGTGGATTTTTGTGTAAGGTGTAAGGTAGGGGTCTTGCTTCATGCTTCTGCATGTGGAAATCCAATTTTCCCAGCACCATTCATTGAATAGACTGTCCTTGCTCCAGGAATTGGTTTTAGATCCTTGATCAAATATAAGTTGGCTGTTGATGTTTGGATTGATTTCTGGTGTTTCTATTCCATTCCATTGGTCTATCCATCTGTTTCTATACCAGTACCATGCTGTTTTGATTACAACTGCCCTGTAGTATGTCCTGAAATCTGGTATTGTGATGCCTCCAGCTTTGTTTTTGTGGTAAAAGATTGCTTTAGCTATTTGAGGTCTCCTGTGCCTCCATATGAATTTCAGCATCATTTTTTCCAGATATGAGAAAAAGGTCTTTGGTATTTTGATTGGTATTGCATTGAATCTGTAAATTGCTTTCGGGAGAATGGACATTTTGATGATATTGATTCTTCCAATCCATGAGCATGGAAGATTTTTCCATTTTTTTGGTATCCTCTTCTATTTCTTTCTTTAAGGTTTTGTAATTTTCATCATAGAGATCTTTAACGTACTTGGTTAAGTTTATTCCTGTAAGGTATTTGATTGTTTTTGTAGCTATTGTGAATGGGATTGATCTTAGAAGATCTTCCTCAGCCATGGCATTGCCTGTGTAAACAAAAGCTGTTGATTTTTGTGCATTGATTTTATATTCTGCTACTTTGCCAAACTCTTCTATGAGTTCCAATAGTCTCTTAGAGTTCTTTGGATCCCCTAAATAAAGAATCATATCATCTACAAAGAGGGATAGTTTGAGTTCTTCCTTCCCAATTTGTATCCCTTTAATTACTTTTTCTTGCCTAATATCTCTGGCTAAAACTTCGAGAACTATATTGAATAGCAGTGGTGAGAGTGGGCATCCTTGTCTGGTACCAGATTTCAATGGAAATGCTTCCAGCTTTTCCCCATTCAATAGGATGTTGGCTGTGCGTTTTTCATAAATTGCTTTGATTATATTGAGGAATGTTCCTTCCATACCCAGTTTGCTTAGAGTTTTCATCATGAAAGGTGTTGTATTTTATCAAATGCTTTCTCTGCGTCTATTGAGATAATCATATGGTTTTTCTTCTGCAGTCTGTTAATGTGGTGTATCACATTGATTGATTTGTGCACATTGAACCATCCCTGCATACCAGGGATAAATCCCACTTGGTCTGGGTGGATGATCTTTCTGATGTGTTGCTGCATTCTATTGGCCAGAATTTTATTGAGGATTTTTGCATCTATGTTCATCAGGGATATTGGTCTGTAATTCTCTTTCAATGCTGCATCTTTTTCCGGCTTAGGAATTAAGGTGATGCTGGCTTCATAGAAAGAATTTGGGAGGATTCCCTCTTTTTCGATTGTTCTGAATAGTTTGAGAAGAATTGGAGTTAGTTCTTTAAATGTCTGGTAGAATTCAGCAGTGAATCCATCTGGTCCTGGGCTTTTCTTTGTTGGGAGGGCCTTTATTACTGTTTCAATTTCTGTCTCAGTTATGGGTCTGTTTAGGTTTTCTATGTCTTCCTGGTTCAATTTAGGTAGGTTGCATGTGTCCAGGAATCTATCCATTTCTGATAGATTTTCCTGTTTGCTGGCATACAAATCCTTGTAGTAATTTCTGATGATTCTTTTTATTTCTGTAGTGTTGTTGTTATGTTTCCTTTTTCATCTCTGATTTTATTGATTTGGGTCTTTTCTTTTTTAGTTAGTTGGGCCTATGGGGTGTCAATTTTGTTTAATTTTCAAAAAACCAGCTCCTCGTTTGGCTGATTTTTCGTAATTTTTTGGATTCAATCCTGTTGATTTCTTCTTGATTTAGATATTTAAAAGTCACAGATGGATAATATTTGTTAGCAATATAAAGTATTAATATAGTATTTCACTAGTTTTGTTTTTTTTTTTTGACAGGCAGAGTGGACAGTGAGAGAGAGACAGAGAGAAAGGTCTTCCTTTTGCCGTTGGTTACCCTCCATTGTGGCCGACACGCTCGCCGCGTCGGCGCGCTGTGGTCAGCGCATCACGCTGATCGGGAAGGCAGGAGCCAGGTGCTTTCTTCAGTCTCTCCAGCGAGGGCGAGGCCCAGAGACTGGGCCATCCTCCACTGCACTCCCAGACCACAGCAGAGAGCTGGCCTGGAAGAGGGGCAACTGGGACAGAATCCAGCGCTGACCGGGACTAGAACCTGGGGTACCAGCGCCGCAGGCGGAGGATTAGCCTATTGAACCGTGGCGCCAGCTGCATTTCACTATTAAAGTGGCAGAAATTCTCAAATTTCAGCAGCTTTAAGAAGATACTATTTTATCTCTTCTTCTGTAAAAGCACAGACATAAGTAGAACAAAATTATTGCTGTGGTTCTGCTTTTTACAAAGTCTTTGGGGGATCCTCTCTCCTAGCTTGCTGCTCCTCTATCCATTTCCCTTTTCCAAGACTACCTTACGGTCCAGAATGGTTGCTCTCTCTAAGTCATTGCTTTCTCCCCTTTGTATTCCAGCTAGAAAAATAGAAGAAAGGAAAAAAAAATTACAAAATGGGTATGTTCCTTCCCTTAAAAGACCTCTAGTAAGTTCCAAACTTTACTTTTGCTTATATCCCATCAAGCAAAACTTAATCTTGGCTAAGTTTACTGACTCACTGCAAAGGAGGTTTAGGAAATGAATTTTTTATTTCAGTCAACTATTTGTTGAGGTGAAATATCTTCTCGTACAAGAAAAGGAAAAAATGAAAGTTGAGAGATAACGTGAGGGCTCTACCAACACATGGTACTGTCCTCATTTGGATGTGTCTCCGAACTATGTAATAGTAAACCATGTCTACACAATTGCTATCCTTTGGAGCAGGAGATAGTAGATGGACGTATATCAGCAAGTTACACCCAGTTGCAGCAAAAGTTTCATATGCTGGTTTTCAGCCATATGTATATATCAGATTCACTATGGAGCTTTAAAAACCTAGAGATGCCAAGCCCTGCCCCAGATATATCGAATTAGAATTATGGTGGGGAGCTGTTAGTAGTTTGTTTCTAAGAGTACTACTCGTGAAACAGGTCCATGGTCAAGATTTGGATAGTGTCATATGGTAATCCCTTGTTAGAATTTCAGAAGCACATTATTTCAGAATTGTTAAGGGGAGGGACTATAGGAAAGAATTGAGTTAGAAGCCTGCATCTCTCCAATAATAATCCCTTGGATTATGGGCCATGTGATGTTCACTTTGTACCCGGCTTTGTGGGTTTCACCTTGGGTCCCTTTGAAGGAACCAATTTTCTCCCCTTAATTTTAGGCCAGATTTTATCTTTGCTTATAAATGGAGCTCCATTTACCAGGGTACCTCAAAAAGTTCATGGACAGATGGAATTAAAAGATAAGTTTATTTTGGTGCAATTTTTGTAAAACTCCATTCATAATATGCATTTTCTATGAACTTTCTGAAGATCTCTCATATTCTAGGCCTTGAGAAAATCTCATCCTTTTGGATTCTATTTAGAACACAGTAAAATAAGAATACTATAAGCATATTTTATTTAAAATTTTAAGGTTACTTTTAGGTTAGGTTGAGTTTCCCAATTATATTTCTAATCCAATCTGGTCTCACTAATTAAGCCATTTTTACTAAAGGAAACTAACACCATCCTTTACTTTGTTCTACATTTTCTCTTCTTATTTTTGTTTCTACTTTTAAGATTTTGTCCAACACTTCTAGTTTGGGTGAGCTTACTTTTAAATCTAATCAGAAAGAGCTCCACTTCTCTGGTTATGGAAGTTGCCAGTTATCTAATAATCTATAATTATAGGTATTTAAATTTTGAAAAACCAGTATGTTTCCCTTCCCATTTGCAGGAGACAGATTCAAGAGATTTATGTGAAGAGACAAAAAAAAAAAAATCCTTAGCATTTGTTATTGATATAGAATGTTGAAGACAGCTTTCTGGTTTTTCTCTTAACCCTTTTTAGTGTCACCTCGCTGTTCCCTCCCACCCTATACAATTCTTGTAGAAAGCCTTAATTAGAGGTTCTTTACACCTGCTTGATTTCCCATTTTAGAAGGAGGTGGGCTTTAGGGTTTGAGTACTTGGCAAGGCATCTTCCCCATTAGCAAATTAGAAAAAGCTGGGTAGTGTAGTTGTCACCTAGGAGAGGAAAACAGTAAATACAACAGAAATATTGGACACCTAAATCCACAAATTTGAGAATTTTGTATACATTGAAACCTAATTATAAACATGCACCAAGAGTGAAGAAGTTTTGGGGTAAATAGGAATATGGGTGCCTGTGTGAGTGTGTGTGTGTCACATATGATAAAGTTCATATTTCCATAGTGCTGAAACCAAGTATAAAAGGAGGTTGAAGACTGGGAGGAAAAATAAATGAACAAAATTATTTTAAAATATACCTAATAAATAGCATTAATTTATCTTCAGAAAAGATGAACTGAGGGAGAAAAGCTTGACAGTTTGAAAAGAGGTCACCTTTGCATATTTTTAAAATTAACATAAATAAGAGTATATTCTAAACTAAATTTTTGTTGTCTTTTTATCTTATTAAAAAATCAGAATCTTGACACTTCTATTTGGAAAAAAATTTTTTATGATACAAATGCAAGAATGTCTTAACAGAAGAATGTATCTTCTAGTTCAGGATTTCATATGTTCTTTCTTCTTCGTAGTAAAAAACAAGGAAAAATCCATTTCAATAAAATGATTAAGACATGTAAATGAAAAATGAAAAGCTGACATTTGTATTTTGAATTGCAAATATTCTGAACTGAGGATTTTTTTACATTTTAAAAGTAATTTAAGATCTAATTATAAAGAAAAAAACATTCTTTGTGACTTTAGTAATTCTGAATGTGATAGCTTTGCCACTTCATTTGAAAATCATTCTCATAGGTTCCAAAATGAAGTTTTAACCAAACCTCCACAGGAGGGCACCACAGTGTGACTCTGGCATCAGTCGCAATTGCAGCAACCCACTCTGTCCTTACCTACACTCTGGAATGAATGTCTAAAATAGTGAGTCCTTCTGAATTGGAAAATTCTATTTCCAAAATTCAAGATAGATGGATTTCAAATGTGGTAAATATTTCTTCTTTGGTAAAAAACAATTATAGATAATTTAATCTTTCTTTGAGGCATATATTCAACATAAAATATCATCTGAAAATACAGTAAATGGATAGGATGCACAGTCTGAATGAAGCAAAAATGTAAAAAGGTTAAAATTGAAAAAGAACAGAAATATTTTAGAACTATCAGGATAAGAAATCAAGCCCAAAATACATCACAACAGATAAATACATTTACTATTTATAAATAGTGTGTATAAATTATATTATTTACAAATGGTATATATTACTTATCATAGTATGTATATCTAGTTAGGTAGATGGCAGATAAGGTAATCAGTCTTGGTGAATACAGAAACAGAATCAAAGCATAAATACCAAAGTATTTCTAAACTGGTTCTTCTCATTACAATAAAGTTTCTAAAAACATTACTATGTTGATAAAGATAGAAATTTGGTCCAAATTAAGATTTTAAAAATGTTCCTTGCCCTAACTTTCAATTTCACTCATGCATTTGTTGTTCTCCAGCAGATAAAGTATTTTAATATTTTACTGGAGTTAAATAAATATAAAACTAATTGTAACCTTGGCAGTTGCCATGTGTCTTGCTTATTATTTTAAGGACTAACAGAGCCATGCAAGTCTAAGAAAGGAATACTGAATAGACAGTTTCATTTAATTTGAAAAGTAACAGGAACAGGGGTAATAGATATAGATTATATGGTTCCAATAACTGTTTATATAACAAATCTATTCTCAGTAAGGAAATTATTCATTTCGCTATAGTTTTGTTAAAAAATGCCAGTTGGGTAAATTCCAACAATGGAGGGAAAGACTGGTGAAAAGTTCTAGTAGACTATAGCAACAGGGCTGAAATTTGGCATAGCACATACTGTATTTACAGCAAATATTCAGTTTTAATGCTCTAGGAATTTATAGCTGAAACAAAATAATATAATCACAGTACAAATCTGACAGATTCCTGAACTTGCATCCTATATTAGAAATTAATGGCATCACATTTTTATACGAATGCAAAACACTTGCTAAAAGTACAGGAGTTCTTGAAACTTCTGATGGTTCACACCTTGGTTGAATAATTGCATTTGTTAGTAATTAAAATGCAAGTTCATCATCCCCTGGGGAATCAAGAGAGACTTAATTTAAATAGTCATCCTGTTAGCTCTTTAGGTCAATCATGAATTAAAAAACAGTAGATTTTAAAAAATCAAAAAAGAATTTATGATTTGTATAACCTGCTTACACAAAATAAAATTACTTTTAAATATCATTGTCACATAAATTTGACAAATTGCATATATTCTGATACTTGTATAATGGAACCATATATAATCCAAGTTTTCTTTTGCTTTTTAATCTGATTCTAGGTAACTAAAAAAATGAGGTTCCTTATTGTTTATATTTTAAAAGAGACAAATTACAATCAAATGAATTGACATCAGTAACTTAAAATAATGCAACTTCTGTCATCTGTCTAAAGGATGAGGCAATTTTTTCTGGATTTAATTGTCATTATGAGATACTAAAAGATCTCTCTCTCCCCCCCAAAAAAAGATTTTGTTTGGGAAAATATTCCCTTTCTCTCTCCTTCCCCTTTACCAATTTCCTTCCACTACTTCCTTTTTAAAATCTTTTTATACATCAAGAAAATATACCATTAGATTTTCACAAAATATAATGTCAAAATAAAAGCAGATTTGGATAGGTAAAATGCTCCATTTCTTAAACTCTAATAAGAAAATTTGCTACAGAAATCTATTCAATTTTGAAATTTGACTCCTCTAAAATAAATCAATATTTTGAGGGTCAACTATTATTATTTCTGTCCAAAATGTCCTATTTGAGGGGTGTTCAAAATGGTCACGGAACATGTGTGTTATGAAAAAAATATGCATGGACTTTGAAAGTTTTGAGCACCAAAATCAAACCTATCTTTTAACGCCATTTTTCCAATAATTCTTTGAAATGTCCTTGCACAAGAAAAGGCATAAGGTGAAACATGACATGAGGTGAGTGCTATTAATCTGAACGGTACAATGGGGACAAAAGGAATATAACAGATTTTATAAAGGCTCATCCTTGAGTGAAGGAAATGTCACAGTTATGTAACAAAACCCTACAGAAATAGGAGCCTGAGCTCATGGAGGCAGCTTCTTCCCATGGCTCATATGAACTTTCCAGTGTTTCATGAATCAGACTTAGATTTTTAAAATATTAGATCAAATTTTGGTCAAAGAGTTTTTATTTTACTATCTTCTTTTGAAATGGCCTCAAATTTACATGTAAATTACAGAAATAATGTATAATATGACTGTATAGCCATTGAGAATATATTGCAGGTTAATACTGCATTGTCATACTTTTGTATGCATTTCTTAAGTATGACGATACTCTCCCATATAACCAAAAAACCCATTAAAATACACTTTTATCTAATATTGAAATATGATCCCAGACTCCAATAAAATTTACTAACTATCTCAATAAGTCCAGGATCTAATTTAGGAGCATGGGTTGCACTGAAATTTTTCTTCAGTCTCTTTCACTTTACAAGAATTCCTCAGTCTTTTCTTATTTTTCTTGATGTTACCACTAAGTGCTAGAATAGTTATTTTTTTAGAATACTCCTCATTGGGTTTGTCTGATGTTTCCTCATAATTCACACATTTTTTAGAGAAATACAACCAAAGTAATGTTGTGTTCTTCTCATTACAGTTTATCAGGAGGCAAAAATGATAATTTGTATTATTTCTTATATTATCAATGATTATTACTTGCATAAGATAGTACCTGACAAATTTCTCCCCTGTGAGGTTAAGTATTCAGTATATTATACTTATTAATTAAAAAGCAATTACTAACAATTCTACAGGAAGATACACTGAGACTACATACATATTCAGTTCCTTATCAAACTTACACTTATCATGTTTAGCACTCTTGGATCACTCACTCCTAAAGGAATTATTATGACAGTTACCAAAGAATAATGTGCTAATTGCATTATTCCTTGTGGATATATTAGTAGCCATTCTACTAGTGTGTTCTTCTTCTATATATTTATTTTTAACAATTGAGTATTTATAACTATAGTGCCTCATGGATATGTATTTTACTCAAATAGTTACAATCTGTTACTATCGAAATTTATTTTGGTTTTCAAATTGGCTAGTAGAAGATGCTTCAAGCTAGATCCTCTGTCTTTGGACAAGATCCCATCATTCTTCACATGTTTCTTTATTTTCTGGCATAACATATTCTAGATCTACGTAATTATTTTCTTTCTCCAAACCCAAAAGCCAGCCATTTCTCAAGGGGCTCTAGTTTTCTTTTATCAGGCAATGGTATTTAGAAACCAAGAACTGGGTGTTAAGTGTGCTCATTGTTTTAGATGGAACTTATCATTTCATCTTATTTTATTGTAGTAAGAACACTAAATAAATCTTTAAACAGTATTATACCAGAGACCTCAAGAACATATTCATCTTTCTTGGCTGAAACTTTATACCCCTGGATCAGTCACCTCCCATTTCCCCTTCTTGCCAACCCCTGGCAACTACCATTCTACTCGCTGACTCTGTGAACTGAATACCTCAGGTATTTCATATAGAAGGAATCAGGCAGTATTTGCCTTTCTTCTTTTCTTTTATATTTATTTTTTAAAGAAGTATTTATTTTGTTCAAAGTTAGAGAGAGGGAGAGAGAGGAAGAGAGAGAGAGAGAGATCTTGAATCTGCTAGTTAACTCCCCATGGATTCAATGGCCAGGGCTGGGCCAGGCTGAAGCCAGGGAACAGGAGCTTCATCCAGGTCTCCCACATGGGTGGCAGGGGCCAAGCACTTGGGCCATCTTCTGTTTCTTTTCCCAGGCCATTAACAAGGCGCTGGATTGGCAGTAGAGCAGCTGGGACACGAACCAGCACCTATATGGGATGCTAGCACCACAGGCAGTGGCTTTACATGCTATTCCACAATGCTGACCTCAGATTTATTTTTTATTTGAAAGCAGAGTTACAAAGAGAAGTGGAGAGACAGACAGACAGACACACACACACACACACACACACACTGAGACACAGAGAGCAGAGAGCGCGAGATCTTCCATCAGCTGGTTCACTTCCCAAGTAGCTAAAATAGCTGGGGCTGGGTGAGGCTGAAGCCAGGAGCCAGGAGCGTCAGCTGGGTTTCCCACATGGGTGGCAGGGCCTCATATACTTGGGCCATGCTCTTGCTTTCCCAGGGCCATTAACAAGGGAGCTGTATGGGAAGTGGAGCAGACAGGACTTGAACTCAGGAAACAGCTTAACTTGCTGTGCCACAACAGTGGCCCCAGGAAAGATATTTTTATTGTCAAACATCTCTGGATGACAGCCTAAGTGTTAAAGGCCTTATGCAGAAGCACAAGTAGGAACAAACTCGATCACTGAAAAGAAAACAATAAAAATAGAAAAGCCAACAACACATAAGAACACTGGCAGAACTAAAAGAAACAAAAGAAACCAGAAAGATACAATAGCCACATCTTTAGATGCATTTAATAGCATCATGAAACAAAGGACAGTTCCAAGTGTATTTAGTCCTATGACATTAGAGTTTAAAAATACTGCTGTGTGTGACCCACAGATTTTAAGGCTCTAGAAATAAATTTAAAACCAATTCTGTAACAGATGCTAATGTAAATGATGCTTACAGGCATTGATAAAACACACTTTGCCTTCCTTCTACTAACATATTCCATAATTATACTGTGACTTAAATAGTTTATATATAGAGAGATGAATGTGGAACAGGAGAAAAGTGTTCCTACATTAGCATTCAGAGTAAGTAATTCAAACATCTAATTGTTCCAGCCAAGGAATATTTTAAAATATTACCAGTTAGGTGTTCAAAATTATTTTGACTTACTTCTTATTGAGTCATGCTGATCATTTGCAAAATTAGAAAATATTCTTGATTGATATAGATGCGCATCACAGAAAATACAGAAAAGGAATAAATGACACCAGGAAAACATTTCTGCTTTTCTTTTGTTCTAATACATGCAAAAATCACTTTTTAAACTGAAAAGCTATTTGAAGAGTTATGGATGAAAACAGATATTTCTAGTTTTTAATTTTTTTACTAGAGAGAAATGCTGTATATAAGGGGTTTGATTGTACATTCTTCTGACTCTAAAGCTTTTTTAGATGCATATTAACTGACTTGAAAGCATTTACATCTTTCTTTAATATTCTGAGAACACTGGAGAAAATCTTACTTCAATCTAAATTATTCTTGAGATTTTAGGTGGTCATTTATCCTTGTGTTTGGGACTCCTGTGTCCCACTAAAGAGTGTCTGGTTTCCAGCGCTACTCTCTATTCCAACTTCAAATTGGTATGGACTCTGGGAGGTAGCAATAACGGTTCCAAGAACTGGGTTACTACCACCTGTGTAGGAGACCTGGAATGAGTTCACTGCGTCTGTTTAACCCCAGGTCCAGCCCTAGCTGGGCATTGTGGGCATTTGGGGGTTGAGCAAGTAGAAAGGAGTTCTTTCTGTCTATCACTATGTGTCTCTTAAACATAAAATGTAAAAAATAATATAAAAATAATGTAAAAAATATCTTGAAATTTATGCAGTGCACAAATTATGACCCTTTTGCTTTGTAACTGAAATGATTTTAAAATGTAAGAGCTTTGAAAATTCTGGTTTTATTAATATGGGTATAAAGATCGACTCAGCTGAATATCTATTTACTGAGTACTTCTTTATGGTAAGATCTGTCGGAGAATCAAATAAATAAGAAATGGCCCTAACATCAAGAATTTTATAATATTAGAGCAGGTGATAACTTAAAGGTTGCATTTTGTCTCTTATAATTACATAAATGGCATAAATGAAAGATGTGGGAGTAAAAGGAGGCCACCCAGTTCTGGGAAATCATACATGGCTCTGTGCACAACAGTATTTCCTATTATCTGTGTGGATTTTTTTCCTCCAAATGTAAGTTTTGTTTAGATTTACTCTTTGGCTAAAGGTATTTCTAGAGATTTAAAAAATTTTCAACCAGCTTTTATTGTGTTATTTATTTATATATATGTTTTTCATTTCTAATTTTAATGCATTATGTTTATTACATATTATTTCTTTTTATTTATTTATTTATTTTTGACAGGCAGAGTGGACAGTGAGAGAGAGAGAGACAGAGAGAAAGGTCTTCCTTTGCTGTTGGTTCACCCTCCAATGGCCGGTGCGGCCGGTGCGGCCAGCGTGCTGTGGCCGGCGCACTGCGCTGATCCGATAGCAGGAGCCAGGTGCCTATCCTGGTCTCCCATGGGGTGCAGGGCCCAAGCACTTGGGCCATCCTCCACTGCACTCCCTGGCCACAGCAGAGAGCTGGCCTGGAAGAGGGGCAACCGGGACAGAATCCGGCGCCCCGACCGGGACTAGAACCCGGTGTGCCGGCACCGCAAGGTGGAGGATTAGCCTAGTGAGCCGCGGCGCCGGCCATATTATTTCTAATACAGAAATTTATCAAAGTTTATTTCATTGACTAAAATATTACTTAAAATCCTGATTGCTGCTTAAAATGGTGGTGTTTTTTTCCCCTCCCTGTGGGTAGTAGATGAAATACTGTGTGTGTGTGCATGTGTGTTTATCACGTTAATGCCCACCAAAGACCATTCACTGTGGAAGAATGAAACAAACAAGTAGACAAAATGGCCCAGTTCATTGACATAAAGTAGCTTTTGTCATTAGCCTTCTCAGGACTGACCCTTTGTGCTCTATGTGAAATGCTTTCATGGGTAATTCTTACTCCAGAACTCCCCAATGGATTGAAATTTTGTAGTCTACTGTCTGCATTACCATGTTCAACATCTTGTTCTAATTCCATTTATTTCTCCTATCCTTTACAGGTATTGATCCTTAAAAGAGATTTTTATACTCAAACTTCATCTTAGCTTCTGATTATGGGAAAACCAGCTTGTGACAATGAATTCTACAGGATACTGCCCTTTTTTTTATTTTTGACAGACAGAGTGGTCAGTGAGAGAGAGAGAGAGAGACAGAGAGACAGAGAGAAAGGTCTTCCTTTGCCGTTGGTTCACCCTCCAATGGCTGCTGCTGCCGGTGCGCTGCGGCCGGCGCATCATGCTGATCCGAAGGCAGGAGCCAGGTGCTTCCCCTGGTCTCCCATGGGATGCAGGGTCCAAGCACTTGGGCCATCCTCCACTGCACTCCCTGGCCACAGCAGAGAGCTGGACTGGAAGAGGGGCAACCGGGACAGAATCTGGTGCCCCAACCAGGACTAGAACCCGGTGTGCCGGCGCCGCAGGTGGAGGATTAGCCTAGTGAGCCGCAGCGCCGGCCCAGGATACTGCCCTTTTTAGCCCTGTACTTCCAGCTGGACTTAGCCAATGGATCCAAAAGCAGAGGAAAGTGAAAGGACAAAATGAAGCAAATGTCAAGTTTTTATTACCCCATTTCCTACTGCTTTATTATGATTCTGTACTATGCTGCATACCTCTGGGACCTTAGTTCTAGTTTTGTGGTTCCTCTTTCCAGGATTCCTTCATGTATTAGACTCTAGTAAATAGATTACCCCTTCCTTTGTTCTTTAGGTTTGGGGTAATATACTAGTGAGAAAAGGTTAGATCTGCTACTATAAAATAACTACTCCCAAATATCAGGTATTTATAATCATAAAAATTATTTATTATTCCTGGTACATACCCACTGTACATTAGTTTGTTTCTACTTCCTGATGTCCAGTCTGGGCGATGAAGAAGCACAACAGACTTCAAAAACTTCTCTCTATCCATGTAATGACACTTCAACTCAGGTAAATGTTCAAGTATGACTTCATGGGGGCAGGGAATGAATCTCCCCAAGAAGTAGAAGAGGATGACAGTCCAACCAAGGGAATCAATGCCTTCTTGTTTGCTATGCTTGCGTGTGAGAGCTTTTCCCACTCCTATGAATTATTACCTTTTTCTGAGTGTGCTGTTTCATACCAAGAATTTTGATTTATACTGTGGTGCTGAGTGTTTCAGTATCACTTCCCGCAAACACTAAGCAAAGTTTCCTTGAGAAATTATAATAATTACATTGTTTTATAGCTTGCTAGTTGTTCAGCCTAAGTTTTATGTTCAATTGAACTTAATACTCTTCAACTGCTTGGCTTGATATTGGTTGAGTGTGTCGTCCAAAGGTTTATGTGCTACAAGTCTGGTCCCCACTGTGATAGTTTTGAGGGGAGAGGCCTGGTGCCAGGTGATTAGGTCATGAGGCATCACCTTCAGAAGAGATTAATGTACTTGGTAGTTCTCTTTTGCAGAACCCAATGAGCACATGAGAGAGCAGGCCATTAGCATGCAGCTGTTTGCTTTTCTGCTGTGATGCCCCAAGGGGGCCGTCACAGAAACCAATGCACTTTACAGTCACTAGAATCATGAGCCAAAGATGTCTTTTGCTTTATAAAGTACCCAGCCTCGAGCATTTTGTTATAGCAATACAAAACAAACTAAGACACCAATCATCTCTCTTCCTGTGAATTTCCCATTCCTCTTGTTTTTGCTTAGTTTAATGTTTGTATTGGCTACACTGTGTTGACAAGGTTTATCAGAAAAGCTACATGAATATGTGGGAGATATGCTTCCTCAAATTTTGAATATTTGAGATTATGTCCTATTGTGTGGACATTTAAATACCAATTCGATTTAGTACGATTCTACAGTCACATTTCTTTTCTCCCAAAACTTTGTTGACATTGTTCCACAATCTTCTTGCTTCTAAAGATCCTAACAAGTAGTCTCAAGTTTGTGTTTTGTTTTACCTCCTCCTTTGTTGGTGATGTTTTGCAGGGTGGTGGGAGACAGGGGTGGCAAGGCTTGGATGCTTCAACACTGCAGTGAAGTTCAATATCTCAGAATCTGTCATTCTACACCTTTGTTTTTCTAGGACAGTAATTCCTTTTGTTCTTCAGATCCTGTCTTCTTTCACCTCAGAAATGTTATTGAATTATATTTTTTGGTAATTTCTTTTTTTAGTCCATCCATTTTGCTGTTTACTTCAGAGACAAAGATCTATGTATGTCAGACCCCTGGGATCCCCTGTTTCTCTGTATTTTTCTTCATGTTTCTTATGTGATTTTATAAAGTTTGTTTTTCATGTCATGGGCTGGCTTTTCTGCAATGTTGTTTCTCTTCCTCACTATTTTCAAATACAGTAAAGTCTTTCAATGCCCTTATTTTTCTCTCTTTATGATATCAGTTGCCTTTTAAATAAAATTTTGTCTAATTTTTTCTTTAGACATTGCAAGTATTTCCTTTAATTTCTTTGGGGGCTCAAAGAATAACTATTTAATTTTTTTTTCTCTAGAGTAAATCTTGACTTTGTTTATCCTTAGTGAGTCTATTTTTTTTCTTTCCTTTCCTTCACCTTCCCTCCTTCCATTCTCTTCTTATCTCATTCCTTTTTCCTCCTTGTTTTCTTTTTCTACTCCCCTTTTCTTTCTTCCTCCTCCTTTTCCTTTTTTTCTTTCTTTTTTTTTGCTAAAATTATCTGATTTTTTAAAAAAACTACTTATTTATTTTTAGTTGAGATGATCTCTTCCCCATTATATATCCCCCAGTTCGGTAAGAGGAATCTGAAAGTACATGCCTCAAAACAATACACACTTCTAACACAGAAAACTGGCCTCCAGTGTAGAGTTTTCAAAAATTTTTCTGAAAAACAGAGAAAGGAGACTCTCTCTTAACATATAGCTTAATGTTTGACTCAAAATAACCTTGACTACGCTCCAAGGTAACTATGACAAGGAATGGCAGATAGAAATGACAAGAGTGCTGTTTGGAGAAGTCATTTCCCACCCACTGGCAAGCTTTTCTCAATAGCAGTGAAAAAGCAGACCCTATGCTGAATATTTTTAAACTTTTTCAAAGACAATAAACAGACAAACAAAAGTTAGAGGGCACTCTTAGGTTTTCCATCATGTTTCATCTGTGATTATATTTTCATAAACGGGAGAGAGTTGAAGTTTAGCCTCCACTGTCCTCTCTCTATATAAAGGTTTTCTTTGGAGTTTACAGCATAGGCCTAATCTTTCTTAATTTAAGTTGGAAATGAAAGAAGGTACTTTGGTAAACATGCCCTATGTCACTACCTTTCCAAGAAGTTAATTATAATTTTTGTAATTCGTTTTTTTAAGACTCAGGAAAGCAATGATCAAACAATGTTTGGTTTAACCTACAGGAAGTCAGGACCTTATTAATACTTCCTGAAATGCTGAAGCATTCAGAAATAAATTATTTTACTCCATTTTTAAATGTACCCAAAAGGTGATTTATTTAACCTAATGACTTTCTGTAAAATTAATGAAGTGTTTTCAAAGCATATTTATGAAATGAAAAGTAATTGATGAAAGTTCTCATTTGGTAATTTTGTAGATGTTTTATTATGAATTGGAAATCAATTTCTAGTCACCTAGAATATATAGGCATTGGGTAGAAATGGACATATTTTTAGTGAGAAATACACTTCATCATTTAATCAAATTTGTTTTTATGATAAGAGTAACAAACTGTGAGAACTGGTAAAGCAATATATGCATCAATACCTTTCACTAAATGTACTGAGAGTGACTTTTCACAATTAATTGTTGAATATTTTATTTTAAATTTGGTTGTTTAAACATTGGACTACTTTGTGGGCTGAAATGACAACCAATTGGTTGGCTGTCCTGAAGTAGTCCAATTTCTGCCATGTGACCCTCCCTTTGGAAATTAAAACACAGAAATGTGCACGAACACACATGCTCACATACACACCCAGACTCTGACCTTTGCTACATGTTTAAACAATAATATCTTCATGGAAATATATGCTTATTTTTATACCTTTTTAAAAAAAATGAACTGTGGTTGCTTTTCATAAATACTTCATAGCTATTTAAATCTAAACTTAGTTGATTGAACGTTTTCTAGTAAATTGACTACTTTTGGATTGAAACGAACACCTTGATTGGTTGCCATGACACTGCACAGTCCTAATCCTGTCTTTTGACCTTGGCTTTGGAAATTAAAACACCTACACAAATCATCATATTTATGGACACAAATACACACCCAAACTCTGACCTTTGCTTCATGTCAAAACTAATAATCTCTTTATGGAAAATCATGCTGATTTCATGGCAAAAAGGAGACTGATTTCATTATTTTATTCCCACTACACTGTAAGAAGAAATTTCCCGTGTTAAAACTCAGTAAAGTTCTCATTAATACATCAAATACTTTCACAATCAAGTATGAAAATGGCTTTAGATTGTTTATTATACCAAGTTTGAACCACAATGGCAAGCATCCAGTCAGAGTTTGTCACCATCTGGCCTATCTTACTAATTAGATTATATTTTCTAATAATCACCAATACATAGCCTGATCAAGATGTGTACTCTGTTCCCTATTATTGGGTGAAAATGTTGTAATTGTTTTAGCCTCCATCCTCTTGCTTGGACCTTTAGTAGTTTCTGCTTTCTCAAATACGGAATATTCTTTGTTAACCTTTCTAAATTCTACCTATCTTTAAAGGCTCACCTCAATTCCTAAGTCTTCCAACAAAAATTGATTTTGTTGTTATATTCCACCACTTTCATGATCTTGCTTTTTTAAACCAAAGCTGTCCTATTAGTTGCTTAAATACTCAATTTTATTTTTTCAAATACATTGTATAATTTTCTGATATCATGTAACATACTACACTCATTTTTTAAACAGTCATAAAGCATAGTACAAAATACACACTACATTTTTGTTGTTAAGTAAAAGTTTCAGAAAAATTGTGCTATTACCTCTAGGTAGAAAACAATTTAAAACTAAAGTAACATTAGTTTTTCTTTTCCTGTATGGGCAGTTGAAGATTTTAATATTACATTAAAAATTAAACTAAATGAATTTGAAGCCTTCAAACTTTAAATTTCCAGAAAAAAATGATGTATTTATTTAAATAAAGAATTCATAAAATGGACAGGACTTAATATTGATATGGAAAGAGCAAATTCTAATTCAGAAGAAAGATTTTTTTACAGGCAGAGTGGACAGTGAGAGAGAGAGAGAGAGAGAAAGGTCTTCCTTTTGCCTTTGGTTCACCCTCCAATGGCCGCCGTGGCTGGTGCGCTGCAGCCGGCGCACCGCGCTGATCCGATGGCAGGAGCCAGGTACTTCTCCTGGTCTCCCTTGGGGTGCAGGGCCCAAGCACTTGGACCATCCTCCACTGCACTCCCTGGCCACAGCAGAGAGCTGGCCTGGAAGAGGGGCAACCGGGACAGAATCCGGCGCCCCGACCGGACTAGAACCCAGGTGTGCCGGTGCCACAAGGCGGAGGATTAGCCTAGTAAGCCGCAGCGCCGGCTCAAAGTACTTTCTTAGGAATGTGCCGAGGGCTTGACTCCCCTCACCATGCAGCCAACTTACATTAGAATTTCAGATGTCTTAGAGCTGTTCAGGGTTCCATAGGGTAATTTTTTTCTGGCTCTTTTATTTATTTTGTTCTTCGCTCCTGGCTTACTCCCCCCCACCCCCCATTTCTTCACAACCTTGAGGATGTTAGAAGGATGAAGTGCTCAGAACTGTGCCTGACCCACAGTTAGGATTTCAGTAAGTGGCAGTGATTATGTTATTTTCTTTTCCTTTCCTTTTTCTCCTTTATGATTCCTCCGCCTTTTCGCCCCTCCCAGTATAGGCCTGGTAAAGTACACACACGCACATTATTTAGTATCACTTTGCCTACCTCTATCTAAAAACATATGATTGAGTCTAAGCCAGAAAGTAGCCAGCCGAACAACCTCAGAAGCACCTCCAATCAACCTATTAGAAAGCTTGGATTTTATTCCAATCTTTACTTAATAAATGTTTATTAAGCATCTCATAAATGCAAAGTTACGTGGAGGAGGCACATATCATGCAGAAATGAATCCTGCTAATTTTCTACAGTATGAATTTCTTATTTCAGTAACTAGGAATAAATGTCATTTAAAATGTAGAAGAGATAAGATTTATATAAATAATTCAAGGTTGAAAGTTAAAAGTGCCCCAAGAAAGGTAGAGATAAAATGAGAGTTCACAGGGGGAAATAGAAGAGCTATTTTCAGTTTAGGGGGTTAATAATTCATAAAAGAGAGAGAATCTGAACTGAACTTTGATGATAGAGGTGGTTTTGAACAAGTTTAAATTTGAGGATGCTTGGAAGATGTAATGCAATATGGATGACTGCAAAATTCTCTATCACTTCTCCAATGGAAAGATGGAGTTTATTTCTGCACCACTTGAATCCTAACCCTAACCCTGACCCTGACCCTAACCCTAACCCTAACCCTAACCCTAACCCTAACCCTAACCCTAATCCTGTTTTAATTATTACCATGTGGTTGAAGTGACACTGTGTCAGTTCTGGACCCAAACTCTTTAAGAGGTTGGCAGCTTCCACTTCCTCTCTCTTGAATCCTCACTTTTGGGATCCAAACATCACGGTATAAATGAAGTCAAGCTAGCTATAGGAAAGACCACCTCCAGGGACCATATCAAAAGAGATCGGCTGATAACTGATTTTTGTTTGCATTTTCTTGATGACAAATAAAGTTGGACACAAATTTTCTTTGGTTATATTTGTTGGTGAGGTGTATATTTAAATTTTCACCCACTTAAAAATTCTAGTTTATCTGCCTTATATCTTGTTGATTTGTAGTTCTTTATCTATGTGGATGTCCTTTTGGGTGCACAAGAGGGAACTTCAAAAAGTTCTTGCAAAAATGTAATTAAAAGACGTTTTAGTGCAACATTTTTTGTAATTGAATATTTTGTGACAAACGTTTTCTCCTAGTTACTCAAAGTTTTGTCCCTTTGTTGAAAAGATGTCCTTAATATTAATGTAGAAAAACTATCAACTTTTTCTTTCATAGTTTGTGGATGTTTCATAGTTTGCTGACCTGTTCAGGTCATGATGGCTTTTTTTCTATGCTATCTTCTATAAACTTAAATGGTTTGTGTTCACATTTAGATCCATAATTCAACTGGATTGGAAATTTTTATATTGTGCATCAAGAATCCAGATTCCTTATGGAGTATTCACTTCATTTAAAGTTATATTTGTATATTGGTCATTTATTTAATGACTGAGAAAAATCTGTGAAATCCAGTAATAATTTTTCTGTAGATTCTTTTGTGTTATACACATACAATTATGTGAAATGTGGAAAATGAGATTTATTTGAGACTAGAGAGAGTGAGAGAAGCAGAGAGAGGGAGAGAGAGAGAGGGAGAGGGAGAGAGAGAGAGAATTTTCCATCTGCTGATTCACTTTCCAAAAGCTAGCAACAGCCAGGGCTGGGTGAGGCTGAAGCCAGGAGCCAGGAACTCATTCTGGGTCTCCCATGTGAACGGCAAGGACACAAGTACTTGAGCCATTCCCTACTCCCTCTCAGGGTGTGCATTAGTTGGAAGCTGGAATGAAGGGTGCAGCAAGGACATAAATACAGGCACTCCAAAAGGAGTAAGGGTATAAAGGGATGGCTTAGCTGCTGAGCCAAATGACCAGTGAGTTTCATATCTTACATTTCCAGTTTCATGCTCTTAATATTTTCCTGCCTTATTGCATTGGCTAGGATTGCCAGTGTATATTAGAAATAACTAGTGATAGCAGACATCCTCACTTCCATTCTCATGAGGAGAGA